CGAAGTTGATTGAAACGGCCATCAAGTAGACAAAGACAATCTGCAAAAATTTCCAAACTAATATTTAATTCTGTCAGAATTGAAGAAAAAAAATGTGGAGATTTTCCATCAAATGTTAAGTAATCAGCATATATATTCGAAGACGAACAAAAATTTAAATAGTGCAAGTTCTTAAAAACAGTGAAGATATATGTATACACAGTTTTCATTGAATTTTTCCTTGATATTTCATCTTTATTGTCGGCCATTATAATAATTAATTTGGAAATTTTATTTATATGCATATCACTGAACACAATTTCATCTAAATATATGCACAAAAGTCAACATTTTTATGATTAATTATATCATAATATCGATTCTTTCAAACAATTCTATAACCTGTATATTTTTTTCTTCCAAATCATATCAACAGTATTACACAGACCATTAATATCCCTTTTATATTACTAAACTTTTTTTTGTGTTTAAAAATCTCTCAATGAAATTTGAATGCAAACATAAAAGTCATTTGTTAAATATTTTTAGTTATATAGATATCTATGGCTACATGGGACACTTCCTTCTTTTTATACTTCATATTAATCTTTCTCCTGACGAATCAATCCTTATTCTTATTTAAAGTCAAATATAAATGAAATGAAACGGTATTATCATCTGGAAGAAAAAAATACAACGAACTATTTCATTATACTAAGTCAAAATTCTTACCAATAAATAAACGTTTAAATGTTTCTTCGTTGATATTGTATAAACCAAGTCCATATAAATTAGGATAATCAACAATACGAAGAATACGTTCCATAGATAATGATTCAATATTAAGCCATTTGATTTTATAATGAATTTTAAGTAAGATCTCTAAACAAAATCGATCAATTATTGTATCATTTAATGAATAAATAACATCGTAAACATCGGACGACCATCGGAATAATGTTAAAGAAGTAGTCAAGGTTTGATCATATATTATTTTATTGAGTCGCATGTTAATACCGACTAAAGAATAAAGTACATCGATATAGTTCAATTTCTTAAAAATAATCAAAAGTAATTCGTCTGGTAAATCAATTAGCTGAAAAGCTGAACATTCCATATTCATATTCAATGAGGGTGTGGGTGTGGGTGGGGTCTGGATGTGGGGTGTGACTGTGGGTGTGGATCTTCTATCCTCTCACACCCACTGACAGTCACATCCCACACCCACATCCACACCCACACCCGCACCCTAGATAGGATGTGGATGTAAATGAAATTAATATCTACATGCATACTCACACCCACACACTCATCCAGACCCTCACCCTACACTCTGAAGTTGGAAAAAATATAAAAAAGAAATTGTATGGCTTAAAGCTTATGTTTGGAGAGTGAGGTATAGATTAAGATAAAACTCACCTGCAAAGTTGGAAAGAAGTTGCCCACTTGATTACTAGCTATCATTACTTTACTTTTTATCTGTTTTATGGCTGCCTATTGAAGTTGAAACAACAGAAAGGAACGAAAATATCTATCATCATCTACGAAAAAGTAG